CCATTTATTTGCTTAGTTAGAATTTTAACTTGAATTTTGCTGTAAATCATTTACATGTATTTGCTTAGTTAGAATTTTAGCTTATTATCAGTGCTTTAGTATGAACATTTCTGTGACCAACTTGTTTTTTTTTAAAGATAATGAATGTTGTCCGTTTTTCATTACTCCCGTCATCTTTACAGTTGTCCAGTGATAGTTAGATTTGCTCAGAGGCTATTGGCACTTTGACCTAAAGTCATCGTATAAGTTCTACCCTTTCAAAGGGGAGTTCTCCCCTTCTTCACGTGCTATGTTCATAATCAGATCTGCAACGGCCGTACACTCATCATCGCTGCTTCAGTTATTTTACCGCTTGATCTGACTGTGTATACACATTTTCTTGTTTTTCATGTCTTGTTTTCCTGTTTTTGACACATGTCGAGGAAATTATATGGTTTCCCCCCATTTTGTCCCACCCAATCCCCCCCTGCATTCCCAGCTACCGTTACAACGAGTAATTACAACAACAAGTATTTGAATAATATGAATCGCAATAATAACTATTGAAATGGCTATTGCCATAATGCGTTCAAAGATCGAAGAAAAATAATCTTATATGTATATAGATGATTTTTCCGTCCCCCTTCCTATAGCATCGTCTTCTATTCTATATATATATATATATATATATATATATACGCGCGTAGTGTGTGTGTGTGTGTGGCTGTTGATGACCAGTCATGTTATTCCTTTGTTTTTTTTTTTGCTGTATGATACGAATCTCATTTTATCTGTAGTAGCACTATTAGCACATGCCCGTTCCTCGGAGTTTTCGCGCCGTTACTTCGAGCTACAGGTGTAAGCCAATCCGAGCGATGGATAATCGCGCTTCCTGGCGCGTTCATAAATATGCTCGCTGCTAGTCTTCACACATACAGGCGATGAAGGTGTCTCTTCGTCTCTAGGAACCAAAAGGCAGATAAGATACAGCATCTTCGTGTATGGTATTCCAGAATAAATGAATCTTTTTGTCTTTCAACATTTTATCTATGTTTTGTAGAAATATTTTGCAGAAGCACTGCCGTTTTGAGGATGTAACGAATTGAACGAACGACGTAACGGTACGAAAATCCGTTGGTCATTTGTCTCAGTTTTGGAGAACGTGCTAGTCACCAACGGTAGTGCAAAGGCTTGCCAAGATGGCTGACACCCTCACTCGGAACAACAAACAAGCTTGTTAAACTCAAATTAGACGATGCTCGTTATTGAATCGTATAATGAATAGTTAATAATGAACACACTGCGTCGAGCTGAACATGTTCTAGACCGTTTATCGTTTTCATGTAGTACCAGTTTTCGCCGAGAGGGACGTCAGCTTCCATATCTAATCACCGCTAACTTGGGTCTAAACAATACTCTGTTATGTTTTCTGCAATGTCTCTACGTACAGGATGTTGCTACCTTCTTTTAATGGTTAATTTGCCCATGTACAGCGCCTGGCTCAGTGGCCACCAACGGATGAGGACGTCACACAACCCAATAATACAAAAAACAAAAATGGTTCATTCAAAAATAATACACAATAGTATCTTATTTTCTGTATAGGAATATGATTTGTTTTCAGCTATTCGTACTCATTCATCGATCGTGTTGTTTCCTTCACTTGTGAAATACGGTCATTTGATTGTGGTCAGTCATAATTGTGTATTTCCCATAATCCCCTCTGCTTGGACTAGCACTAACCGCTCGTCCGCGTAGGCCACACGTGAGATGTGGCACTAAAAGCGCGACACGCCATCGTTTGCTATAGCACTATATACTATACAAGACATTAAATGGTGGTAGTGATGATGAGAGAGTTAGGAAGTTGTATTGAATAGCGCAGAGCTATTAAATAAGTCGCTGGTAGTCGTAGGCCATCGACTGCAGGCCGACCGATCTGTCGCTGTGTTGTTCCAATATGCAGCCGTAGTATTAGTAAAATATGAATTTGTTCCTGATACTCGAGCTATTGCTGGCCGCTCCGTGGCGGTGTCCGCTGCTTAGTCGTAGATGCAGTAGGGGCGAGTGCCCGGCCCAGGAACCTCCTGAGTGACATCGTCACGACTCCAGTCTGTTAGCGGACTTTCAACGGGACTCTCCGATGGGCTCGTACTAACGCTACCGCTTCTGCCGAGATCTAGTGAGCGTCCTCGGCCGCGCAACTTTTTCGGCAAATAGGCCGGTATAAGCGGCCTATTGGTCTTTCTGTTTACGCTATTAAAGTTTGTTGCAGTTATGCTACCACCGCTGTTTTTGTTGCCGTTGGTAATGATCGTATCGTTGTCAATTTCGTTGTTGTTAGCGCCACCGTTGTGCAGTGCTGCGGCACCAACCAGCACCGACTCCTTCTGATTGCAGAAATCAGAAGGCAAGGGCATGCGATTGTCACTATTGTTGTCCTGTTGGGTTTGCAAAAAGCGACGCAGTTTCTTGTACGGCCGAACTAACTCTGGCGAGACTGGCTGTGATTCTGCTGAACTAACGATACCATCAGCTAATGGCTGTGTGAACCGATCCATTTCGACGCCATCGATCACGATCGGGCCTCGCTGCATAACCTCGTCATTTGTTGATGACAACGTCATCTTCCTCAATTCTGTCATTATCCTTTTTGAAGCGACTGCATCGGTATTCGGTTGGACTTCTGGTATAGCTATTGTTGTTGGTGTTGTTGTTGTTATCTCTGATTTTGCTGGGAACTGTATGGCTGCTGTTAGGGTCATTGTTGCTGAGGTACGTGCTGCTGCTGCTTCGAATTCTAAATCTGACGATTGTATCTCCACCGAGTTAAGTGTAAGTCACCTCTCCGAGTTGAAGGCGTCTGAGCTGCTGTTCTCACTGCTGTGCTTTCGGCGCGCCTTGGCCAGCTGACAGAGCGTTTCGAGGGTAATGGGCGCTCGACTGCTGTTCTCTACAGACTTCCCCGTACCATTACCCCCGTTACTCAGGTTCACATTGGTGTTGTTGCTGCTGGCTCCATTACTGCTACCGTCCGTAACAGCAAGACGGGTAAGGGCGCAGCCTTCCGTGTGTGCGTCCTCAGCGGAGTCATCCACACGACCACCGCATTTGGCACACAATCTGAAAAAAGGAAACGTATGGTCGTCAGTAATGTGCTACATCGTAGTCGATCGAAAGACCATAACCAACCGCGCAGCAATATATATATATATATAAACTGAAGTCTCATAAATGTGAACTATTCGTTTACTCGAATACAGAGAACAGTGAGGGTGTTATTCTGTTACTTACTTGAAAAGAGATTCTAGCTGCTCCCATGGCAGCTCATATTCGCTAGCGCCGGTTCTCACTATTATGGACACAGGCTGGTCCTGATCCATGAGGCTGACGTCGCCTGCATCGTCGAGTACAACAGGCGAAGAGGATGAGGTGCGCGGCGTTGCCGGAGCCGACGCGGGTGGTGAGGCGGGAACCTCAATTGGGGACGACGCCCCACTCGGCCGGCGTAAACCCGCCTTCGTGCTGAGATCTTGAACCAAACTACCGCCTTGGCCTTGAGCGGCGGCCAGGCTGCTACCCAAAGCGCTCATCATTGTCGCTTCCTCGTCGCGGGCTCCAGTCGATCGCGGCGAGCCTTCAGATTCGCTGTCAGCGGTTCGCTCGTTCGAGGTTGTTTCGAACAGCCGGAGGCGAAGGTCGTTTGACCCGGCAACATGTCCGTTGCTGGCTTCGGCAGTGGGCGCACTTCCCGTGAGGGTGAGCGACGACTCGCTGCCGCATGGTGACAGACGTAGCCGCTTGCTCTCCGACGTGCGCAGGACGCATTCAGGTTCCAGCAGACCTCCGGCAACCTGGTTCGTGCTGGAGGCGTTGCTTACACTTCCCGGTGGAGTAATGCCTAACAAAAATCAGAGAAAATGATTAGGTCGAAAATAGGTGGAAAACCAACGAAGGTTGGTTGCCGGATTATGATCATGCTAACGGAACATAGATTGCCATATGTTTATGCATGGAGAAAATAACATAGGTGCATTTGTCGACCGATTTGTGATAGAGGCTATACACAGTTACCATTTTGCACAATGCTAGAAAAATGAGATTGCAGATGCGGGGGCAAGCTACTTGGCGAGAAGGCCCTGCTGGTACCGACGGCCTCCTCCGGCGGCAGGGTTGCGTGCGTTCCAAAGGGACGGAATGGCGAAAGACGTTTCCCTGTAGAGTTCAATGTAAACGTTAGTATTTTCGCTTTCAGAGACAATTTTATATTGGAGTTGCATGAAAGCGCGTACATGTAAAATGAATTGTCAATAATCTTTCTACCATTTGTTTTATTGTTGTTGGTGTTATTGTCCTTGTTGTTGTTTGTAAAATGGTTCAGCTAAGTTTATGAAGACTATAGAGACGCAATCAGTGACAACTGTTTCATCAACCTAGTAAGCTATCAGGTGAAAAAGGGGGCAGGATGCCGCTCCCGTGCAATGGAGAGCTGTTCGTTCCCATTTGTGCGAGTATCTCGCTGGGGGAAGGTGATGTGGGCACTTGTATGCCGCTTACTCCTGAAAGCCCTCCGGACAGGCCGCCCTGCGTCTGGATCAGGCGTTGCAAAAATGCCTCCTGGGCGCTCAGGTGGCTTGCTCCTAAATAATAAACACGGCAACAATAATAATAATAATAGCACTGTTAACGACATCTTGAGTATAGCAATACTTCACATCGTTTTGTTATTTCTCAAAGAGCATTAGCATATACCTTGTCCTTCTTTTGAATCGTATAACTTCAAAACAAACTACAATGATTACGTTAGAACAGCATAACTTGCACCGTCATCTAGCCGTGTGCATTAATCGGAATAAAGTCTGCAATATTATTAACGCAAGCAGACTCGATAGAAATAACATTAAGTTACGGAATTCTATAATAATCCCCTATATCTATATATAGTATATATATTATAAGACCATCATACTGACATAATTTTCAAAGCAATAATCCACCATTGCTAATTATGGCTTCTAAACTACGACTACTGAAGGAGCGTACCGGGCAAAAGGAACGGTAGCCCGGAAAGGAAAGGATGTCCGCCGAGCATTCCCCCCGGAACCCTACCGGCACGCAGGTCTAACGGCACCGGTGGGGATGCTGAAGGGGTGGACAGAGCTGTCTCCGGTGGTGAATGAGAGGACAAGGAGAGACCGGGGCCATGGCCCGAGAATGTCCCCCGACCGCCTCCGGGGAACTGCCCGGCGTGGGGCAACACGGACAAGAGAGCCTTCGAGCTGCGAGCTCCCTTGCGCCGCGGAGCCAAGCGGTCCTGAAATCAAACCGCAATGCAGCAATGACAGCAGCAGCAGCAGCAGGAAAACCCGGTTGTTAAAGATATAATTAGTCAATAATGTCCTTAAAGCTATTAGTTACGAACTAATGCAGTAGCACCATTGTATAGTGATGATAATGATGCTCCAAAATGGATTCTATCTAATAATCCATATTGCTGCGTTAATTGTACCTTCATACTTTTTATCATTGAAGTTTGAAGAGAGGTTTGAAATATATGACCCGCTAAATGTATCTGCCTAATCTTACCTGTTTGCCTAATCGTTCGGTGACGCAGATTCTGGTATTGAGTGAAGCGCCCTCTTCCTGGGGATGATTGTGGATGAACGACGAAGTCATAATGGCGAGCCGTCGTGTCGAAGATCGATACCGCAGGTAGATGTGCGCCTTGCATTGCCCTGAACGACTGCTGAAATCATAAGAGGAAGAGAGACGACACAAATGTTGATCCATAAAAATAGCCATCATGCTTTAGACTGTCAGGTAGCGCCATTTAATTTCTTGGATGATGAACATCAAATTACACAATTAGCGAAAACGCTGCGTATAAGCTATCTACCTACTCTCTTCATTGTCAACCTAACATTTTCTTGCAGCTTATCTATATATTTCGTTTATCTTCATTCATTAAGTTTGCTCCGGCACCGCATATCTAATTCAGAATAGCTCTTTTAAAGAGGAGATATTTGTCTGGGGTCAGCACACGATGTTCGCTTGACTTGCCCTTGGGGAAAGCACTTCTTATTGGCTCCTCCGTAAAGAATTTTTGAGATGGTTCACACAGTAAGTCTACTGCGCCAGTGTAAGGGTAGTCAGATGATATTAAATAGCATGATCGGCCGTATCCGGGTGTCAGTGAGAAGCTACGGAGCAGATACCAGCTCGCAGCCGGTACAAGCAGTGACCATACTAAAACTGTAGACGATGATAATGATAATAATACATATAAATCATAGTTGACATTGGTGTAAAATATGTACGCTACGCTTCTTTTTTTGTATATAGATTACAATGGCAAGCAAAAGACGGAGGAAATCTTTACAGATTTAGTCGTCTTATTTCCTTGTGTACTGCTTCCGTACCTAACAAAGACAATTGATTTAATAAAGGGCATAGGTAGCGCAAGTTTTTATTATTGTCGATCTCGACATAATCCACCGTTCTCGCAAAAGGGTTCTGGGTGCAAAAAAAGCATATATGTGCGTGCAACTCGTGCGATTAACGACCAAATGAGTACGGTAGTAAATCATTATACTGTCTGCCTCCATATATCCATATCTGCCTTTAATTCTGCAATTCGGTACCATAAGACCGGTTGAAACGTCAACCAATAACAGGATGCGGACGGAGAGACATGTCATTGGTACAGGGAGGAAAAAAGAAAGTTCAAAAGAAGTTCCCGTCACTTTTTTAAACTTTTATCCTTTTGTGACTTCGCAACTCATGTAATCGGCCATTCGAACTTAGCGTGCAAACTACGCAACAAACTGTTGAAACGTAAATGCGTGTCACTGCGAACGTTCCAGGTAGAGAAAAAACGCATTTACGACTCATACGTTAACAATGCGTTTCGCCGAGGTCCGTAAGCTGCCCAATTGATCGAAACATTTACGGTGTATACAGAAAAGGCGCGATCTCTGAGCGGCTGCTTTACCCGCCAAAGTCCCAAAATGGTGCTTTACATCTGAGCGGTGTGTCTTGCTCCTGTATACCGTTTAATGTTAACAGAGGCTGTTTAAGGCCACTTTTGAGGAAACAAAGCTGTCAGTTAAGTTAACGATTGGCAACAAACATGACCTGTAGCCACGGCATCATTCTTAGTCATCTTCACTGAGTGAGGTTCAACTGAAAAAACTCTACTTACGAAACTGCATGATTGATACGGTATAATTGTTTCTACCAAAAACAGACCCTACTCATTACGAAAGACAACAGCGCGAACTCTTTCAAGCAAATATTTGCTCTGTTTCTGCGGTATCTCTTACGTTATCGTTTCGTTGATTTACCAACATACATACTTTTTGTATGGGAGCAAATTTTCCGCTAAACCATCGGAATAAAAATCAACAATAGGGACATGCTTGTCACGGTATGTACTCAGTATGTTCACCGCTTCAGGCTATTACGAACCCCTTGATTCGCCTGTTTGGTCGCCCCGACGTTCATTGCAAAACCTTCTTTCGCCCGGTACCGCCCTCGCGCACCACTGCCTTGCTGGCAAAAACCCCCAGACCCAATGTCGGTAGCAGCCGCGACGGCAACTTTAGCGGACTGACAGAACGTTACAGCACTACCGGAAGCCTGCTGCTGCTGCTGGCGGTTTTGGTGTTATTTTATCCATCCACCATTATCTGCCTCTCTCGTTCCCTCTGTAGAGCGTCCTCTCTGTTCGTGCCCGTGGACCTTGAACTCCACAAGCATATCTGTGTGGACGGCAAAGTATGTGAACGCTGAGTACCAATAGAGCAAAGCAATGAGGAATACAGGCAGACTAGGTTTTGTTTCTCTTACTAAGGTTCCGGGCGACGGGTAGCCATGAAGGATTGCGTGCGCCAACGCGGGTCCGAAAGTCGGGTTCTAATGACAGCCATTAATACTACCGTTAAGACAAAGAAAAAAATAATGCGGGTAAGTACAATACGGAAAATGAAAAATAATCGAGGTATCACAGTCTTCAGAAGTCAACAATCGATGCAACATAGAACAATCGATGAGGTTCCGTGTTTTCATTGAGATATAAAATAGACTTGTCCAATGATGATGAAGCGGCAGTGAATTCGTCCACCTTACAAGCGGTTTAAGTTTTAAATACATGTTAACAACGGTGACGGTCAAAATAGTTGTAATTGTAGCAGTAGCGAAGGAAAAAAGTGGTCATGGTAAAAGTACAAACAGTGTTGCTCAGAGATGGGCCTTTCCTTTATCAACAGGCAAATACGCAACGGATAAACGAAGCATCAACGCCAAATGCTACTTTGCTCATGAGGCTCAAATGCGAGATGATGGTCCAACTCCATTCACTGGGTTTCTCGATGAGGCACAGAAAGGGGAGCTATCTTTCGCTTGCTAGCATCTTGTCGCTCTGGCAGTCAGGTGTGTGCAGAACCAAGTCACTGTAAAGTGTACGTGAAGAATGGGTCACGTTGCAAGGCGTGAATACGTCCAATACGTTACGCATTGAAAAACGCGCAAAGAAATCTAGCTAGCTTTCACATATAGTTTCTTTTCGGTAGGCCTTGCACCCTGTTCCTTTCTCAGTTTTCCGCCTGGCTGACGCACCCCCAACGTTAGGATCTACTTCCCAATATTTCTAGCGCGCCTCTGTCAGTGCGCATTGGTAGAGTAGTTACGTGGCTATTTAGTCTCTGCGTACTTCGCGAACAACCTGCGCATCGTAGATCCTCAGAGGATCAGCAGCAAATGGGGACCCACGTGCTAAAAGTTTTCCACGCCGAAACTCTCCATTTTCCCCCGTTCGGAAAATGGCAGTCTAAAACAAAAGCATGCATCGTCTCAGCTAGCTTTGTCCAACGTGTTCATGTAAAAGTTTGTGTGCTTCCTAGGACAACCTTGTGACTTTCACTTGTTTCTCCAATAGATGCTTCTGTAAATGCCTACTAGGTTTTTTCTCCCACTATCGTTTCCTTTCTCTCCCTAGCTCTGCGTTTTAACGATTACCCAAGCAGCCGTCAGGCCGACGGATGCTGGTGCATCATCCAGTTGAGCCGATGAGTGCAAAACGTGCTGCCCGAGAAGTAATTGCTCAGCTGATCGAAGCTCACAACCGTTGATGTCGCAACGATTGCATCAAGTTCCACCAGTGCTTGCCTTGAGCGGGCATTGTTCAAGCTTTTCATTCATTCCCAATTCTTAGAGTATGCGTACGCCGCCCTTGCCCCAAAGAACCGCAACCTCACTTCGCCATGGCTAGTCTTTCTCATATCGCGTGGAAGCTTTCTGATCAGGACAGTTTGCTTAACTTAAGCAACACTAAAATTCTACTAGCCCGAAATTGTTTTACACTATGCATCGTACAGCCATCGGCTGAGTCGCCAAACAGCATCGAATCTGCCCCCTAGTAGCGCCTATATGATGTGGGGGAACTTCCGTTCTCAGCCCGTCCCAGCGATTGAAACGCCTCGAAATACTGAGAACGGAGGGAAAGGTTCTTCCTGCCCATAGACTCAACAAACAAAGGAGGAAATCCATAACCGGAATACGTATCATAACAGTAAATTGCCACCAATAAAAGATTTTCGAATATGTTTAGATTTATTCACGCGCCTTCTCTGACAGTGCTTTTAGTTGAAGATTAAGTAAAAGAAGAATAAATGAAAAGGCACGATCTGTAGAACAATTTGGTTAGATGTATTCAAATTATACTTTTAATAGCGATGCTGCAACATTTTCAAGAAACTCCAGTGATCTCATCTAGCCATCTTATTTAAACGCTTACTCGAGCTAAAAAATGTAAAGTACATATACATACATATAATAAATATAATTTAATATATTCTAATAGAAAAGATATGAACTTTTTCTATGCAAAATGAAACATGACAGCCATGTGTCATGATTAGGGCAGAATCCCTTGTTAATGGTAACGATCCAAAGCTGAGAAGTGTCGTGTGGTCAGAATATGTGTTAGTCTGTCATTACTGTTGCTTAAGATCGTAATTATTCCAAGGATCCCGGGTGAAGTATCGTCAAGGGATTTAGATAGAAGCTGCTATTATGACTGTCAAATGAAGTTACCACTTCTCATTGAAGAATCTGCTGAAGTTTACTGTCGGGTAGGCAAAGAGCAAAATCTAGTATGTCGATCAGATGAGGACGAGAAGGACACGCCACGTTCTGATCGACTGGCAAGAACCTTAGTTTAATTGTACACTGCAGTGCGGGATCGATTGGGGAACGTTTTCGGCTTGAGTTAACGGCTCTGAGCCGGTTGTTTCGGCATCTGCTTGTTTCAGCTCGCATGCATTTGGCTTTGCATTTTTTATTTGTTTTTTTTTGTTCTGAAATGGCTGGGAGATGTTGTATCAAAGCATTCTTTCGTGCGAAAAATCTGTGTAGAATTTCCCTGATCTAATCAGGTAGATACAAGTGGTAACAAAGTATGGATAGGAAAATATTATTATATCGTAATTAGGCGTCTGAGTAATCGTTAAAATAATTAGCACAAACTAATAGACAAAACGTCAAACATGACATGTTCATCGATTCGAGCAAAGATTGAGATACGTTTATGACTACTCGAAACACTCCGACACATTGTTTATCTGTTATGTAGCAGCGGTAGTTCAGCGCGGTAGTATGTCTGGGTTACATAATGAACAGAAAGCACAACGATAGGAGATACCTACCAGAACTGATTATCAACCAATAGCCTGACTGGTATCAAGTCGC